TTACTGTAACCCTACTGACGACTACGCCTCGCAAAATCCTAGTTTTTGAGCTATTGTGTTGCTTCAATTGTTCAGATCAGGCCGGCAAAGGTTTGAGGGAATACAAACATAACCAAACAAATACACAAAAATACAGCAAAAAACACAAACAAACAGCACAAGAAAAAACACCTACGTTTGAGACAGAATCAGCAAATCCAAATCCTATATAGTACCTCACTTTGTCTCAAACATTGTTTTGTCCCCAAACTGTGTGGACACACGAGGGGTTCTTACGGTAATGGAAAAGCAGCTGTGCTTAGATCGCTGTTCTGCGCAGCCGTGTCCGGCTAATTCGTTGCTATTTACAGTACATTCATGCCTCTCGACATCGTCAATGTGCATTTCGACTGCGCAGGCTCGCAAAGTCTGGGTGCCCCGGGCCGGTGCTTCTAACGACTGCGCTCTCGTTGTGGTGCCGTGCGCATTTTCGCACATGGTGGTCACTTTTCGTGGCAGGCGCAAGGGAAACCTCGTGTTTTGGTGCTTCAAAATCGACTTTTCGTGACAGGTGCAAGGGATCGGAGCTGTTTTACTTCGAAGTGCAGGCGCAGCACTTTGGGCATGGTGGTGATCGTCGAGGACCTCAGATTTCGTGACAGGTGCAGTGAATCGTGACTTTTGGACATGTGGCTCGTTTGCAGATTTTGTGGCAGGCGCGGCACTCACTCTGTGACCCTTGATGTGCAGATTTCGTGGCAGATGCAGCACTGTGAACCTCGAAGCGCAGATTTCGTGGCAGGTACAGAACTTGGTGAACCTCGGAGTGCAGATTTCGTGGCAGGCACAGCACTTGGAGAACCTCGAAGTGCAAATTTCGTGGCTGGCGCAGGACTTGGTGAACCTCGAAGTGCAGATTTGCCAGTACTTTGTGCTCTCAGATGCTCACTCTTTCACTCTCCCACTCTCACTCTCCCACTTTCACTCACACTCACACCCCCACACTCGCACTCTCACTCGCACTCATTCTCATCCACACTCACTCCCACTCACACTCACTCTCCCACTCCCACTCACACTCCTCACACTCACACCCACTCACTCTCCCACTCGCAGACTCTCACTCGCTCTCGCTCACACTCCGACGCACACTCACTCACCCACACTCACTCTCACCCACACTCACTCTCACTCACTCACTCTCCCACTCTCACTCCTCACTCGCACTCACTCAGTCTCCCAGTCTCACTCACACTCACACTCCCTCACAATCTCACTCTCCCACTTTCACTCACACTCTCACCCACACTTACTCTCACCCACACTCACTCTCACTCACACTCACTCTCCCACTCTCACTCACACTCACACTCCCTCTCACTCACACTCACTCACACCCCTGGAACCCAATGCGTCTAGATCTCTAGACTTTCTGCTTACAGACCTCACACACACTGTTTGGGGTCTCTTGCCGGGATAATTTGTTTGTTTTGTTTTAATATGTTTGTTTATGTTGTTTTATTTGTTTTTTTTTTTTTTTTTTCGGGGGTATTCCCTCTAAACCTTTGTCGGCCTGGTCTCAAGAATTGAATCCAAACAATAGCTCAAAACTTAGGTTTTTGTGAGGAACAGGTGGGGCCCCTCTCAGTGCCAAGGCGTCACAGTAGCGGCCGGAAGCTTCTCGACCTGAGTGAGCGGGGTGGGTCCCCGGTCGAGTGGCGGGGGCGGTCGCGTCAGGGAATGGTGTTGTCGGCATCGTCGGGGTGTTGAGTTGTTGGACCTCTAGATGGTGAAGCTGAGGGATCAAGATGAAAACGAAGAAAAAGGCCAGCAAACACCTGGTGAGGATGCTTGGGATGCTGGAAGTGCCCGGAACATTCTGCGAAAAAGCATCCAATTGAGATGGTCATGACCAATCTTCGAATTCCAAAGTTCCAGGTGGAAGGCCGATCACGGCTGATCAAAAGCAGAGCAGTGGGGGTGTTTGATCCACCCAAGGTCACTTCTCCCCATTTCAGAAAGCACTGAGCGCCCAGTCGAAGATCCTCTGCCGAGTGCCTGGCAGGGGAACAATTAAGATCTCCTCATCCTGAAAGCTGTCTAGAATCCTGAACAACCAAGTCTGAAACCTACAAGTTGGTTGATGCTACTTTAACTCCTCTCATCGTCGACCTGTCTTTGGATGTGGCACCAGCCACTCTCCGAAGAGTTCACTACATGCTCCGCGCCGTCTGGACACACGGGCAAAAACGAAGAATCGCATCAAATAGCCATCAAAATGGCATTGAAGTGCTCCCTTAAGGCTTGTTTTCGTCGTCGAGACGGCGAGCGGGAGGACGTGTCCTCTCTGCTTTTTGCGGTGCTGAGGCACCTATCATAGACGATTAGCTCAAAGTAGCTCAAAGGCCATGGGATCCCATGCAGCGGCCGAACGAGTCGGGGTTGTAGTCTGTGCCCAAGCAATCCATCCCATTCATTCTATGATACGACTCTGGAAGACCTGGTGGCACACGGCACAGCTCAAGACCTGGTGGTGCACCAGGGGCCCAGGGTATGGCCATTGTCCAAAGCAGACTTGCTGTACTTCCAGTCTCTTGAGCCTGCATTTCAGCAAGCCTCGTCAGCTGGCGAGCCGACAGGCAAAAAGAACACTGAATGGTTTGCAACGGCACGTCCCAAAAACGCGACGCAGCAGCAAAGTGGTTTTCCTCTGAATACTGAGAGGCCATCAAGTTGGTTCAGCTGGTTCTACAAAAAGTCCAATGGATCTCTAGTTGTCACTGGACCGGCATCTCTTTCCCATGAGGATATCTTTCGGCTTCCATTGCTTACAGCATTTCTGTCCAATGAGACCTGGCCAAACCTGGTGGTTTTCCCCAAAGCTGCCGCCCAAATGGCAAAGGCAGCTAGCTGCGAGGAGCGTCCCCTCAGCCCTCAGCCGGACCCCTCAGCCCGACATCAGCGCACCTCGCAGGGTGCTCCGGGCTCGCAAATCAGCACCATCCACTTCCTGAAGGGGATCGAACGCGCTTCCTCCGGGGCGACCGTCTCACGGCTTCCTCGGTGAAACACCGGGAGTTCTGGGTGCTGCCCCAAGCCGCTTCTGGGACCATTCGAGCCTGAAAAACCCGATGGAATCCCTAGGCCCTAGTGATTCACATACCTTCTCCTGAGGGTATGGTGAGGGAGACTATTTACGCTCTGGCACTTGGGGAGGTGGCCCAGTCATTCCGAACCTGAGAAGGCACGTGGATCACCTGGTACCTGGACGAGTGCGAAAATGGGTCAAGAGTTTGCATAGTACGACATAGCAAACCATTCCGAGCATGACTGGGCGAGTAGAATCTTAAGACTGTCTCCCCATGCCATGGACAACAAAAAAGTATTGAAACATGTCAAGTTCTTGGTCTCTTCAGCTTTGAAGGTCCGCCATTGTCAAAGCTTCTGACGATCTGACTCTGGCCCGAGACTGTCAGTCTGTCCCAATAGATTCCAAGTTTCTATCAACTTTCCAGTGGCCATGGACTTCAGAAAGACCTCAAGCGCTGGCAGGTGCTGCTCACGCGGAACATAAACCACTAAAAAGCTCTCAAATGCTTGGCATTGGCTGGTCGTTAAATTGCCAAGTCCTTATTGTCTGGAGGCCATCGACATAATTTTGGTGGACATTGAAATGCCAATAAGAGAAAAACACCATAACTGGTCAAGTCCTACCTACTGAACTTTGATGCCAAACTGCTATGCACAAACAAGCCTGTCGCTAGATAGTGTAGAATCGATTGTGATCCCCATTTCACTCTCTCACATAGTGGGGATGTTGTCCTTCCAAAACCCTGACTTCCAAAAAATGGGTCTCTGGAGTATGAGGTCAAAACGATAATGAACAGAACTTGGTCTCTTAAGATGTCTGCTGGGTTGGTGGCTTTGGATTCAATGAAACAGATCGCATTCCGGACGAAATCGTTCTGAAACCGGTTGTCCTGAAACCGTGTCTCCTGGCCAGCTTGTTTGAAGCAAGCTTCCGTGCAAATGTCCTCAAGGTCTTCCATGCCAGTAAGGTTGAACATAGCTAGTTCTTGCAATTGATCGTATGTTGATCATGTCCAACCTCCCTCCGGCCACTTTGGCGCTTCCTTTTTCCCATCGTCCTTGCGTGGGCTTGCAGGAAAAGTCCTACAGCGATAAACAAAGTCAGGCTTCTGCTGATCTTTGCCTCAATGCAATCCCATCCCCTTGGATAAAAATATCATGTCATGCCACGCACGTCAAAACAAGTTGTATCAAATGAGTCCTCTATATCAAAGGACATCTACGACAAATGAACAACTCAAGTTCAATCCGCCTATACTCCATTCAATATTGAGATTCTATTCAATTCCGTAGGTTCCCAGGCCAAACATGAGAAATGGATCTTGATCCAAACAACGGAAATGGATCTTGAATCTTCTCCAGGTCCCTGATCAGCATCTGAGATTTGTTGTAGCCCAGGCTTTCGCCAACAAAGGACTGAATCTCCGGCCCAAGCTGCCCCAACCCAAGGATTTCTGGACCACTTGGCCTTGTCAACTTAGGTCCTGCCTCATTTTGTCCCATCTGCTGATAAGCCAAGTTTGGCACCACACAAAAACATAAAGGATTGATGATCTCCACAAACACATTTCAAAGTATCCACCACAAATCGCTACAGGATATTGATCTAAACACCAACAAAACCTCAGGAACCTCCAGGAATAAATTTAAGTATCTTGGTCTCGACTGAGGGGAAGTAAACAAGTCACGGTCGGTTCCCTGACCATCCTGGACCATCCGGATCTACACGAGCATGAGATGGTACATGCTTCTTCACACTCCATGGGACTGGAATATATGCCTACATTGATCCCCCTGGCACCTATGGCAGTCCCATGGGTCGCGCCTGGGGTCTATAGTCTATAGATGTCGATAGATTTCAAGTGGCCGTTGCGTTTTCCAGGGGTGGGATTACGCAAGAACGACCGGCGCGAACTGGACATCTTTGATCCTCAGCGGTTTCGCCACTTCAGCGGCAAGTTCCTTGTGTCGCCCTGGCGGCCTTGGTTGGGTGAAGGTCTATCAAGCAACTCGCCAAACCCATTGACCGGGCAGATTCCAATGACAGAAGATTCAATCAAGTTTTGGTCCATTCCAGTGTTCAACAAGGCAAGAAATGGCTTCGGACATGCTTTTGAAGCGGCCTTTGTAGGGACTGGGTCCAAGTTTGAGACTAGCAACCGACCCCAAGAAAAATCACGAAGTTGTTTGGGCTCATCAACATGTTCGCTGCTGCAAACCTGCAGCCACGCGGAGAAAACCGTGTTTGCTTTGCGGTTCAGAGTCCCAAATTCTTCTCTGCTTGGGCCCTGGGTGCAACTAACCTCCGATGATTTCTCCCAGTTCCTTGTCTCTAGTCAAGTTCAGCCTCAGCGTGCCCCGTCTCGAGGGTATCAGTAAGCAGACGGACCAGGAGTGAGACTGATGACTGACTAGATGTTTGTGCAAGAGAAAGTGTTGAACTGTTCAGAGAACTAAGCCTACTACCCAAGTCTGCCATGAAAATTCGCTACTGCTAGACAATGCCTCCAACAAGAGCCGTTTTCCTTTGGGCGACAGCCACTACAGGTACCCCTCCGTGAAGCCCAATTTGCCTCGAAGCGTGCTGCGTGATGTTGTATGTAGGAGAAGCTTTCGCGAAAGGCTTCGCGAGGTTGTGTGGTGGCTACATGCTGCATACAACGGCGTTCGCAAGATGCCTTCGCGACAAAACACTGCAGATTCCTACGCAAAATGGCGACGGGAGGCTTCCCACGTGATGGAAAAAGACGAGGAAATGCTTTCGCAGCCATAGTGTCCAGAGTTGACACGCTGCGCTGTGCTCCAGGAAAAAGACGCCATCTCAAAAGGACAACCGGGGAAAAACGCAACGTCTCAAGGAATGCTGGACCTGCTCATGTCAGAAGGGTGGACCTACTCACCTCCGATTTTGTTGCTTGTCCAGGACCTTTTCAGGACACGTGCGAACTCCCGGAGCAGTGCTCTTCTTCGCTCACTCACGGCGGTCAGTGAGGGTGTGCCACGTTTTGGGCGGAAAGACCACCTGGTGCGTGTGCCACGTCGTGGCACGTTTTGGGTACAATGCTGGTATGGGAAAATCGGAACAAATTCGCCTGCGCCCATCCCACCAGCCAAATCCAACCTCCCCACGACCGGTCCACAGGTCCAAGCTTCGGTTCTGCAGGAGCGTGGGACCCGTGCCGTGTGGCAGCGTGGTCTCCGTCGTGTCCAGTTCCACCGACTTGCCTCGGTGAAGGACATCGAAACGGTCACCGGCGAACACACCGCGAAGAAGAGATGTGTCAAATGGAAGTGGTTTCAACATGTAACATGGAAGTGGCAAATGGCCCCTGGAAATACCAGTGTCCTCTACAAGCAAAAGGATTTTCCATGTCGCTAGTTCCAAGGAGGGTACTCTCTGCCCTCCCCACGAAGTTGCGGTCGCCGTCCACCCCTTCACCACCATTGGCCGGTCTGGGGGAGGCCTGTGTCCCTTGAGAGGACGTCACTATACAGTAAGAGTGCAACCCGGTAAACCCAAAGACTCCACAAATCCAGCGTCTGCACCAAGCTCGTCAAAGAAGTACTTTGGCCGTTCAAATAAACATGGTGCATGGCCCCTTGGAAGGCTCTACAAATGAGGGGCGTTTCACTCTTACTCACCATTGCTCAGCATGGTTTTTGTCTCACCTTGTGGGGAAGGATGGACCAAGGGGATGAGCCACCGTGGTTGTAATTATGTTGTGGTTATTGGTGCTGTTGCCCAGGCACCCTAGGCTTTTGTTACAACCTTGACTCTTGCAGTCCAATATCTGCAATCGTGGGGTTTTGGAGCAGAAAAGGACAACAATCACCAGACCCGTGGCCAGTACAACCAATATCAGTGAGGTTTCTCCTGACCAAACGGTATTGTCACATTCAGCAACCCAACTTCATCTGACCGGGCGGCGCACCACCATACGAAGCTTTTCCAGTAGGTGCTCCGGGTCTTCCTCGCGGCTGAGCTCCAAGGCAGCTGTCTTGGCCTCGTCGCAGAAATCCCAGGTGCAAATCCACAAGTAGCGCTTCCTGAAAGAGTTGCAGTGGCTGCGGCAATGACTGGACAGCCAACGTTTCAACTAGGTAGGTGATGATGGTGGGAATCTGGAGCTTCTCAAAGCCGATGCTTCCTGCTGGATCGTCCAGCTGTCTGAGCACCCCAGCAATGGATTCTATCAAGCAGTTTTCTGAAAATTGTCCAGACTAAGAATCAACATATCTATTGCAATATATTCCCCTCCGCAATATCAAAGCCACGGCCCGAAGAAATTACGGAGCCGCTGCTTGGCTCAGCAAACACTGTCAGAAGTGAACATGTCCAAAGATGTAAGCAGCTACTGCATGTATGAAGGAGGGGGATGCACCATCAACCACAAATAAAGACTCTAGTGCAATGACAAAAAAACTACATTGAGCTACCCCGAGTGTTCTCATGACCGCCACCACATGCCCACATTGCCACCATCCAGAATATGTCGAACCATGCTTCTGGCGGGTCAATGGGCGCATCAAAAGGCTGCTGTTCGTCCAGGCGGTCCAGGGGTTGTCGCTGCCCTTGCATTGAAGCGAAGACAAAAAGATCGTGAGCTGGCATCCAATGAAGACCATGAGCCTCAGCGACTGAGCTGCGTGCTGCTGAGGTCATGTGGGGCTGCCAACTGGCTGGAAACCGCCGCACGGGCGTCACACTGGTCCACGCGGTCGAGCGCAGGACCACGGGGACTCGTGGAAGAGCAGGCTTGGAAGACCTGGTCTTCTTTGAAGGGTGCATGATGGTTTTACCGTAGATTTGGAGGCTAGAGGCTAGCTTGTGACTGGATCTCTCGTCTGCCATGGACCAGACCGCAAACCCCAAGTCTGGATCAGGACTTCCGGCCCCCTTCCACAGTTGAGCAACTGAAAGATTCCTGGAAGCTGCCAGCCATAGCAAAGTGCACAAACTTGAAGTGTGAAGGCCAGAATGACCTGGGCGGTCCTAGTGCCCAGTCTTGGTCTGGTTGGGCAGTTTTTCCACTCGGACCATCTCCGACTGCAAACACGGAAGTTGACAGGGATAAAGGAATACTTAGATATTATAAGCCTCTTGTAATTTCTGGGCACGTGCTTGACCCCGTACGGAACAAAGAAGCTATCTAGTGGGACAAGTCAAGCATTTCACTGACTTACAAGTTAGTCCCCTGAGCCGCTGAATTCAATAGATTTGCAATACGAGGTATCAATGTTTATCATGTTTCTTCTACCTTGGCGAGTTCCGCCCGTCAGCGATCTCTAGTCATCTGGCGGATAGAAATGGGGAGAAACTACAGTGAATGGAATGGAACAATTCCTGTCAAAAAATGGGCTCCCAACTGGTTTGCTCCACTCTTGAGCGCATCGATTGCCTGGGAAAAAAGGAGCATCGAAGTGGTGATTTGGTGGGTGCCATCCAAGACACTGAACCCGAAGCCATGAGGGCAGCTGTTTCCTTCGTAAGCCAACAGCAGGGGATGACACTGACCCGCATGAGGAACGTCAAACAGGAAGAAGCGCGCAAGCTTTGAAAGGCCAAATGGACTTGCTTTTTCCTTGGCTGTGCCGAAGTCCCAAGACCACCAAATGCTCAAGTAATATGAAATGATGTAGCAGCAGCATGAGTAGCAGCAGTAGAAGTAGTAGCAGCAGGAGTAGTAGCAGTAGTAGTAGCAGCAGCCATAGTCGCAATAGTAGTGGTAGTAGTAGTAGTAGAAGTAGTAGCAGCAGTAGTAGTAGTAATTAGTATGGGCAGCAGTTTCAGTAGCGGTAGCAGCAGTAGCAGCAGCACCAGCAGCAGTATTGTGACTGGAGGGTTCTCCAAAAGCTTACGCACCGAACGAGTATCATGGAAGTGGATGGTTTTACCGCTGGGAAAGCACACAAATTCATACAATTTCCTCTGCTAACATGTGGTTTATCCACTTCCATTGAACGTGAGCTGAGAGTCACGAGCACAACGTGACAAAAAGCTTGAAGTCAAGACACAAAACCCTGAAGCATATGAAAAAACACGTCAACACGAAAGAACATCAACCTATTGATGCATATTGACGCGCATCGGCGTCGCACAACATTAGTTAGTTTATTTTTGTTTGACGGTCTAAATAAATGGGGGGTAGGTTGCAAGTATGGACTGTTGCTGCACTGGGGGCACGACTCAAAAAGCCACAACATCCCCGATGAAGGAATGAACAAGCTCCATGCGCCAACGGGAGAAATGGAGGTCTTTTTCCCGCAAACCAGTGACATGATCAAACACCTCTCTATGTGGGTGCCCCCTTGCCAGCACCAGTCCCCTGTGTTGGAGTAGATTAGATCCTTCCATGCCTCGGTGTTGTGGATTTGTGAGGCAAGCTAACGAACACACCGAACACATCGGCACAATGGGCGGGGGCACAAGCCCCAGGGGGGGCACCGGGGCAGAGTTTGGCACCTTTATGGGCACCTGCGTACTGATCCACCCAGATGAGCTGCTCACTTGCGTACTGCTCACTGATGACACCAATGAAGATATTCATCACAAAGACCGAGAAGAAAAGCACCTCACCGAGAAGAAAAAACGACAGGGCCCGCAGCACATCCACCGATGGGACACGGCCGGGGTCCGGCAAAACAAGCTCTCCAAACACAAAGGCGGCTGATCTCTTAACACAAAGCACACTTCCATACAGCACAATGAGTTCCAACTGATCCTCCGGCGGATCTTTCGGCAATCCTTGAGTGATGAGAGTGGTAAAGCTGTGCCACAAGGTCTGCGGCCACCATTCGTCTGCACGCGTGCGCACAACATACCTTGCAGGTTGAGAGAAAGGTGAACAACATGTATGATCTACGCTGCAATTGCAAAAACAACCGCAGGTTTCATGAATTCTTTTTGGAGGGTGATTGACCTACCAAGTTGGGTTGTTTGTTTGGTGCTGCTCACACTTCTTTCAATCAAAGGCATAGGTTCCTCATGGACCAAGGGTTTCTCAGTAGACCATGTACTCATGTTTGAGCCATATCCATGGCACAAGCTGCTCGTCTTACAATCCAGAATTGTGAACAAAATGTGTAGAGCACAAAATCTAGTACTGTACGCTTGTGTTTTGCGGCCGGGATGCATTGCATGCGAGAAGGCACAAAAGCCCAGCAATGTGAAGCTGATGGCTGGTAGCAGGCCGGCAGCCAGCTTGTGGAGTGGTAAGAATGCATAGCCTCACTTTGTGATTTTTGTGCAGAATAGCAACAGTTATTAAGAATGGCAACGCAACGTGACTGGTATGGTGGGAAACGAATGCCTGAGTTTCTAGGACATCGGAAACTTGAGGATCCAAAAAAGTTCAACCGCCTTTTGTTTTTTCGCTGAGGAGCCAATTTGCCGAGAGAGCATGACACCCTCAAGCAATCGCATCCAATAGATCAAAATCACGCAGACTTGGAGAGCACGTGATTCATAATGCCTCGGCTTGGCGCTGCGACTTAGCCACTGGCAGGAAGTGATGAAACAGGGGGCCAATGTATCAGCAACATCTAGATCCTCTTTATGATTAACTATACTTTCATTGACATATATTAACATCAACCGTCATGCGGCTCGTTGCCAGAACCACCACACGGTAAACGAAGGCATTAGGGTCAGTCTGACTGAAAAACAATTATATTCTGGATTTCATTGGATTTCGGCAGAAGCCATCCAGTGCTCACGTTCTTCCTGGCAGTCCACCCACTCCCCACACTACTCTCCCATACTCTTGTCTCTACCGGACGGTGCCTCAATGGGCCACGGCTTGTGCCGATGAGAGGCCACAAAAGTAGAATTGGAAGAAGGCTCCGTGTGACATCCCAGAAGTTCCCCGGGCGGAAGTAGCTGCCGAGGCCCTTCATGCTGGCGTAGCAGCCAGCCAGTTCGGCCAATTCAAGGAATACATCCACCAGGCCTTTGGCAATGATCCAATCTGCTACAACTCCTCAGGGTAATCATCTCGTGCAAAAAGCACCCCAAAACAAACAAAGGATCACTGAGACACTCCATGTGACTGGCATATTTACATACATTGACCCTTGAAACCACCCCACTGTATGGACTCATATGCCAGTCCCATGGAGTGTCTTGGTCATGGCGAACTTCCCGATTTCCTCCGGCATGACGGCCCCGTGGGGCGCAATATGAGCTGTGTCTTCACCGCACTCGGGAAGCCATGACGAACTAGTCGTCCCACAGGTGTGTTCTGCAGAGCGCTTCAAACGTACCAAGAGCACGTACCAAGCGTCTCAAACCTTTTTGCGCTTCCATCTACGCACTCGTCCAATTAACAACCTGACTATATAGCTAGCTATCTATAAATTGAGAAGCCTCCTCTATGCATTCAACACTTGACAGTAACTGGAGGAACACCGTGTTTGAACAAGCTGCTTGACAAAAAACACGACGCAACCCTGCCTGTTGTGATGCCCTCCTTGACAAAGCTAGGCTCAAACACAGCAGAAAGTCCCGTGGTCGATTGAAGGCCTGAAACCAGGCGGCTACTGAAACCAGCCAACTATAGTGGGTTGAGAGTAGATGGAACAATCCCAAAGGTGGTTTATACGGACCCCTATACAAAAGACATCTTGGGGGTTGTGCCATCTACTCTCAATCCACTGTAACTTTTGGACTCTGAAAATGGATCAACTCGAAAACGATTTTCCACTCGAACCCGGGTGGTCAATCTGCAGGAGGGGCCTCCAAACAAACAGCCGTGATGCTGATTGATGCCATTTTCCTGAAAAGCAGTTAGAGTCGGAGAAGAGAACGGATATGAGTTCGATGTGCCACCCTTGAAGGCACAGAACAACACATCTTTTGATATAATATCCTTTTCCAAGACGATGAGCCTTTATTCATCAGAACAGAAGTGCAGGAAACAACAGCGGCTTGAAGTCAGACCTGGGTGCTAGTGACTGAATCCCTCGGACTGCGTATGGTCCTGCTGCGGCCTGGAATCTCCTCATGAGACATCAAGGTCTCCAACACCAGCAAGACCAAGCCCCAAGCAGAGATGGATGTTTGCACAGCTTCCACACATGCCGAGCCGTTCCTCAACCACAGGTGGAGAAACATCAACATCACATATGCCGATGCTAAACAAGTGTTTGCTTGGACGAAACCGTTTGGAAGGCACGATACGTGGAGTTTCCGCATCAAACCAACCCTCAGAGCGGACAGGAACGTGATTTCATCCACTCATGAGCCATTTCTGGCCGCTGCGTCTGGCGGTCCATTTCAACCAAAGGACGTTTGTGGCGGTCGACCGCGCTTTACTTCACGTCCCCCAATCCCTTTTTGGGCACCCCCGAAATGCGAAGACAAACGAACTCAGGTCTGTCTCCATTCGGGGCTCCCGGATAAAAATGGATATGATTCTGTAGTGTTGGCATCCCTGATTCTGCTTGTTATATGTGTTACATTATATGCACTGTGATCTGAAATAGTTGAAACTTTGTAAGCCAACCTCATCATAACATCTCAAAATCGCTCAAAGTCCACAGAGGCTTGGAACAGAAATAAGTGAGAGATTTGAGCCTACACGTGTTCCTTCACATCTTGTTCGGAGCTCATGATTTGACACACCACGCAATAAAACATGCTCAAATGATCTCAAATGATCTTCGGCGCTCAAGCATCTCCACATCTGATTTTTCCGCTTTCAGGTCAGGAGTGGTCGATTTTGCATGTCTCACAACAGAAAAAAACGCCGCGAGGACCCCCAGTCTGGAAGAATACTTGCTATAAGGCAGAAACCATTGGTGCTGGGTGGGACTATCCGTTTCTTTCACTTCAGTCAAGCATGCGCCTGTGGTGCTTGCAAGGGTCCAAAATGTGTATCCAACAGCAGCACGCACGGCAACGCAGTTGAAGAGGAAGAGCGACTCATCACCACCTAAAGCTCGGCGCAACAGCGCAGCAAAACAAATCAAAAGGAAACAAAACACTGAGCTAAAGTCTTTGTTTTGTTTCCTCTATTTTATATCCGACTTACCTCTTAGCCATTAGCCGTGAGAATCCCACCACAAATCCCAAGAACTCTCCCTCTTGAGCCCTCCCCTGACTGTGTTATGCTTTTCTCCTCTGAGCTGCTCAAGATGGCTGAGAAGAAGATGGGAGAGATGAGGTCCGGAATGCTACAGACCTCACAGGGTTTGGTCCCGAAGCCCTCTTCTCCGTCTCCACGTCTTCAAACCTTCGGCTTCATGGTTGAGTCTTCTCTATCTATCGAGTCTTCATGGTTGAGTCTTCTCTATCGAGAATTCTTCTCCCCAAATGCTTGACTAAACCACCGACTTCGCGTTTTGCTTTGCTGAACCCGGGCGCGATGGGTGGCCGTTTCCTTCCAGGGCGGTCTGCTCCCGTCACATGGCCTGGATCTTTGTGTCGCGCATCGGTGGCTCCTTGAGGTCGGTGAGCCGTTGGTGCCAGTGGGGCGCTTGACTACCTTAGGGAGGACGAGCTGACCAGGTGGAGAAAAAGAGACACAGAGAGCCGAAGAGGAGACCGAAGAGGAGACATCAGGAGGCTCAAGGCTCATACTATTGTACATATATCACCAAAAAGAAGTACTCAAAGGTTTACTGCGGACGGCTTTGCCTTAGTAAGTGTCTGGAACGGATCGGCGCGGGCGAAAAGGACATCCAATTGCTACAAAACCCATCCCCGAAGTGGCTCAAGGTTGCCGAGCCGTGTGAACAAGCGAAGCATACAAAACAAATCAAAACAAAACCTTACAGGAACGGCTATCAGCTTACGTATACTATACATATATATATATATAGTAATATCCCATACACTCCATGTATGGAATATATGCCACCATTGACCCCCCAAACCACCCCAACTGATCGGCAAATATGGAATAGATGGAGCGTCTGGGTATATATGAAAAGAACAGCACATCGTTTCTTTCGCGGGTACTTAACATCAGAACCGTGTGGATCCAGCTACAGCAGCCAAGCAAAAGCTGCACGGCTAGCCGAGACTCCGTGGAAATTAAACAATCTTTATCTAACCAGCTGCAGGCTGCAAGATTCGTCGAAGCTCCAAGAAGCCTCGTGGGTGTAGAAATAGAGGCAAGGCATGGACGTTTTAAACCACTTCCTGATGACGTCGAAGTGAAGCAAGTGCTCTGTCGAAGTCAGTCTTTCTTCTCTAAAAGGCATGTACATGTTGAAATTGATCACCCATCCAAATATAGACATTACACACATATACAAGCATCCAAGAGTAACAACTGAACAAACACAAATGATAACCCATGACATACCTGGATCTTGGAAACGACACCAAATAATTGCCTTTTCAAGAACAAATGCCGTTACGGCGTCTTTTCTAGAAAACGGCGGCTTTTTTGACCTGGCCGTAAACGGTCGAATTAGACACCAAAAGGAAACGGCGCTTTTAAGCCATTTGGTTGCGGTGTCTTTTCACTCAAAAAGGCCTCCGACAACAGAAGTGTGCCGTTTGAAGATCCAGGTGTTCGTACTGTCATCGGGTTTGTTGTCTTTCTCGCATATTCTAACCAGTCACGGATGACCACATAGACAGGAACTTGAACAAAACGCGGTGCTAACCTTTTGATCCCCTGGTTTGAGATCACTTAGGCTTGTAAAAGGTCACTTAGGACTTGGGGTGCTAACATGGTGTTTTTTGGCCTTTGGGTGACAATCAGTGGTCTGATGATGTCTGATGCGCGATACGCACCATAAAACTCCGATTGACCCAAAACGGCATCTGCAACGCCTAGGGATCCAGTCGTACCTTCTCAGAAGGCATGACTGGACCCTCCTGGCACCCAATGCAGTCCCACCTTCTCAGAAGGTACTTGGATCCCTAGGGACAATGCATGAAGGGACATCCGAACAAACTACATCAAACCGCTCCAAACTTCCCCCGCGAGATACTGGGCATTCCGCGAGATACGGTCCCAGAACGGTTGGCAAACATCCCCTATTGCTGAATCCTATGGATATTCCTCTCTTACTTCGTTGCCCATCTCAGCATGGCAGCATGACCTGAGTAGATTGGCCCCCCATTGTCGTGACAACCAATCCAGAGCGATCCGCTGCTGACGTGCGGATCCACGTGTTCTTCGATGCTCGTGGGTCCCAAGAGTCCTGTTTGTGAAGGTCGATTTGGTCTCCTGAATGAGATTCTTTTCTAGGGGGGAGCCACCCAACCAAGTCGGCCATTCCCAGCTTCTCCGAAATCCAACCCAATGAAACAGTCGAGTTGAGAGTCTGCAGCCAGCTCGAGGTGAAGCTAATCCGCGCAGGCAAAGGGTGCCGCCCCGGGCTTTCCACCCGTGGCTGGCCTGAACGTCGATGGTTCCGAAGGATTTCGTGTCACTGTGGCCCAGTCTTAATATGCAAAATATCATAAAGGGCAACTATTATAGGGTCTATAAGCAGCCCAGCACCACACGTCTTGGCTTGACATGACGCTGTGGCTCGGTCCAAAGGTCTGCCAAAATGTCTGGGTATTCAACAGCCAAGTTGCAAGTGGCTGCTTCCAACAGGGTGGCCGCTGCGTCTGGGAAGTCATGCAGCAAACGCGCGATGTCCTGCGAAGACCCTGAAGACACTACAAACTCCCATAGGTCCGTGACTGCGAGGCAAAACGCCCCTGTCGTTCGCCCAAACGGCCCTCAAAGAATGCGATGTTTGTGTCAAAGGAGGGAACTTCTTTGTGAGGCCAGGTGGTTTGAGTGCCTAATTTGAGACAAATCTATCCTAAATTCAAAATCAGACTTGTCTCATCTTTTCTACGGGGTAGTGCCGCACTGAATTCGTCCGGTTTGCAAGATGCTGACAGGTTCAGCCAAACAAAGCTCGTATCAGGCCAAGTCAAGTTGCCAAAAACACATAGCAACAAACAAAGTTAAACCCTGCATGTGTCTTGAAGAAACAATTGAGCGTCGCGTCACTGTCCTCGACCGAGAATTTCTGTGACAACTGCGCCGACAACTCCCCTTCAGACATCGTTTCGCGCAAGCGGGAGGTAAAGCTGGGGATGCACTCCGGCGCTTTGTGGATGAAGACCTTCCAATGGCGAGCGGCGAACGGCGAAATCTTCCAATCACGTGGAGCATTATTCTGTCGCACTAACTACATTGAGGAAACGTGTCAACCCACCCAGGTAGCTCCACCAAACTGGTGATACCAAACATTGCGAGGGTCAATGTGATTAGAACTCGATTGCCACAATGACTTCACATAACCTCCATGACCTCCATGACTTGGACCTAGCATTCTGACGCATTCACATAAAGCCGTTCCAACTTCCAGAAAGCCTTCATGCTTCCAATGGTGGGTGCCGCAGCTCTGGCCAAGGCGTCCTTCTTCATGCGGCACCTGAACCGGATCAATCGCAACATCGAACCTGTTTATCTGACACTTCCCAACATGGCTAGAGGCCAGAGGAGGCTGCGCAAGCCTCAAACAAACGGACAACAGTTTCTCTGGGCGCTTGGGGAGCACCCATTGCAATGGTGGATGCTCGCCAAACTGCACGTTCGCCTCGGCACACGGCTCATGGCAGGCAAGGCGCCCTTCGATGCCCACCTCCAAGGGTGTGGCGCCCGTGGCGGTGATGGCCACCTCCACGGCCTCCAGGGCCTCCGCCGCCTCTTGCTCGGGCAGCTCCTGGGTCCGCTGCAGCTGCCTCATGAGGGGAATGCAGCGGAGTTGCTTAGGTAAGGCAGGTGAGGTGAATAAACCCCAAATGGATCCAGATGCTGTAAGAGTCATCTCGACTGATTTGCTCAAAGGGCCCTGCGCCAGGTACAATTGAACCTCCACTGTTGTCTTGGGCTTTGCAGCGGCGTCACATGATAAGGACCGCGGCGTTTTGGGCCGCGCGAGAACGCATTGCTTGATTTCGAGGGCAACCACGCAGGCCGCTGTGATCAGTGATCCACACCACATAGTCGGCTGCCGGCTCTAGGTTCGTCGTTGCGATGGGGGTGGATATGGAAAACAAGCATCATAGCACTCATAGTGCAACCTACAAATAGCAAAGCTATAGAAGATCGAACAAACAAGTCGATCGTACTTTGTTTTGGAATTCCTCCACTGGGAAACCCTGGTCTTGCTTCCGGCCGCCGGCTTGATGCTGCCGCGCAGAAAAGGGGAACCTTCCACATGTTTTCTGTGAACGAATAGGGGCATGACGTCATGGCAAAGTAGTATGCTGGAGTCGAGGGTATAATGATGCTTTCATTTGCGACGTGCGGTTTCTTGCTCGAGCGGCTTCGCACTGCTACTAAATCCCCTGCTGCAGTTGATTCATGATGCATGTAGGTCTACGGTCTACGTCTACGTCTGTAGGATTTGAGATCGTAATCCCTTCTCCAAGGGTTCTAATGTTCCAATGACTCTAATCCACTTTGGCTCCATCCTAGGAAATTATACTCAATAAATTTAACTAAAAGTTCTGACAAGCAAGTGGGCCATGATCGGGGTTGAAACTGTACTTTTGCCAATCTGAGCTAAACAAAAAAGAAAGAACATCATGGACCACTGCAAATGCACTTATGGCTCCTTCTTTTTGCCTTTCCGGAGTGAAAGTATTTCAACTAAATAGTCCAAAGAACTTCTCCCAGATGTGGCTGCGAACAGCGCTGATGGTCTGCTCATTGCCAGTCTCGAATGCCACATGCAAACAGCTCTGATTACAAAAAGATTTGCTCTCAATGTCACCTCCTAGGCTGCATCATCTTTCGATTGGGTCACTTGGTGGCTCGTGTTGATGCCCCCCATGGGGACATCCTTGAAACACAAGTCGTGCAATGCTGGAACTTCTGCTTGCCCTCTTTCAAGTATTACACTCCTGAAAACTAACATGGACCCTGAGAATGGCACCCTCAAAGACTGCTTTGCTCTACAAACCAGTGGTTTTAAGGGCCCATGTTAGTTTTCATCGGGATATATACTAAGTCACTAAGTCCATTAACTAAGCCATCAGTTCTGGCGGAACTGCTTGTGACTCAACGCTTTAACCAATGTGAGCTTCTCAAATCTGGGTTTTCACATGCGAGCAACCGCCAAATTACCTGCAAATGATCAATTTAGTACAGAGCGGTCGTGAACATTCGGCGGGAATTTGGCCTCCAACATGCAGTGACAGGCCCCCCGATGTTGAATGATTTTTCCATGTTGCCGCATGTCGTCACAGTTTTTGGATGTGCTCACATTGTCACAGGCAGCAGAAATACAAAGCTTAAAGAACTGTAGGCAACAGGTACATGGCTACTAGGTAACACATGGTAACACATAATTATGGCGTAAAAACGAGCCCAGTGGCTACTAGGCAAGTGGTTTACTGGGCTACTAGGTTTACTGCAGCGAAACGTCCTCCTGGACGGCCATGCCACCATGCCGCAGCGAAGGACGGGTCGGACGGGCTGACGGTCGAAGGACGTGTTCCGGCAGTGGCTTTGATTGATGGTGAAGCACTTATGGCTTGCACTTCCTCTTTCACACCCCCCAGTCCTTCTTCACATAAGTAGTCGATGAATTCTCTGGAGCCTCCCATGCCCTCGCCATACACCGCAGCGATCATGACGTTGTAGAGCCTCAACCCGAGGTGCGTGGTCACTCCGTTGACCTCTCTGCTCTGTTTGCCTCTGTCCCTATGAAAAACTCCTCTGGTCACTTGACTCGAAAGAGGGAAGACATAACAACATATATATATATATAACAACTACTGGCTACCTCAGTTTCCCTTGAAAAAAGGAGTTTCCCTTGAAAAGAGGTTAACCTTTTCGATTGACTAGTAGGGAAACCAATCCCCAAAACAGGTTAAAGGACTGTTTGAAGGACTATAGACTATATAACGTCTAGCTTGCTATAGTGCCAGTAGAGCTTTGTGACCGTGTGGTTCACGTGCTACAGACGCCCGTGCGGTGTTCGCACACCGCTGCATTCCAAAGAACAACATGATCAACCATGCTCAAGATCGTCCTTACAACTTAGAACATGCAAGAACAACATTCACAATTGAAACCAACTCAGTAAGGGTGACAGTGTTGCGGAAGACTACAACGGGGGACAGCACTTTGCTATCCTAAGCCCTCCAAGCCATGGCTTTCTTGCAGCTCTTTGACTCGAGAAAAAGATGCGCGTACCTCAGGATATCTACCATGTTCAATTGACTGGGCATGGCCGATGGTGTGCATACATCTGTTGAGAGAGAATTATCCCATAGATGAAATGGTAATGTGAGGATATCCACCAAAAACATTGAATTGTATATAGTGGACGTGTGCAATGTTTTTCTCTCGACTCTACTCTGGGCATACAGTAGGGCATCTCTGGCACTTTTCTGGGCACACAGGAGCACAGTAGTATCACACAGGATCTACTCGGCGCACCCGAATCAGTATGCAGGTAAACATCATCCATCGACGCCTTTTCTCATGCTTCGGGCAAGCTTCGGACGGCCAGCCCCAACCACCTCACTCTCCACACTTGCGCGGTACCGCAGTAGCTCATGAAGCATGAACTTAAGACCACGACTCGCAGCGATGTGAATCCTCACTGAGAGAACAGGGAATGGGTCAAGTCTAAACCAGTTTCAAACCCCAAACAAAAGGTTGTGTTGTGTCCTTGGCTATTGTAAAGGTTGTTCCCTGGCCCGAAACCAAGGATCGGTTTTGCAAGCACCTGTTTGTAGGCGAAGTCAATATTGGGATCTTGCCCTTGACGCAGCCTCTCGACCACTTCTTCGAGTCGATCCTCCAAGACCATCACGTGGAAGTCTGTCCCCCAGCAAACCTCACACGTCGCCGTCGCCGACGTCGCCTGGTGACGTCGCCTGCCTGGTTGAGAGAAAGATCAAAGTCTGATTCCGGAACAACTGCAGTGATGATATCGGTCCCCACACTGGCCTATCGAACCACACTGGCTCATCGAACCACATTGGCCCAACATTGGAACAGTGTCCTTGGGTACCCGCCACCCCTACTGTCTCTGTAGGATAGGGTCATTACAATGGATGCACAGCTCTATGATACAGATGGCACGACTCCCAAACGTTCTATTTTTTAACATGGGAGTCCATATAAGCCAATTGAACAGAGCGTGCCATCTACTCTCAATCAACTATCATTATTATGTTACTCACCCTATGGATCCACATACCTTCTCAGAAGGCAATTGGACCCTCAAAGCCTACATAAATAGTCTCCAATTACCTTCTGAGAAGGTATGTGGATCCATAGGGTAATAGCAATGGCCTCCAACCTAATTAATAGCGATGACCTCCAACCTAAGAGCGTCCTTGCTACTAGTAGTAATGCCGTAATGCCCATTAAAAAAGGAATAAAACACCACCAAGATGCTCGGTGATTCCAGTGAAAGGACACTGGCCGCTCGCTCCGGTCGCCCTGTATGGTCTCGTTCTGCAGCAAAGGGCGTTGATCCGTTGCAGTCGCCATCGCGGCACTAAAATCAATGGTTTGGATTAAAACTAGGTCAGTTTGAAAGTGGATGATTGTTGTTTCATTGGTTCTTTCAAGTCGTAGATGTGGAGTGGTTCTTGACTCATCTGGCTTCGACTGGACGGGACGAAGGACTAAGAGCTCGCAGCTCGGACGCTGACTCAGCACCAACTGGTGGACCTCGCATCCCAGTGGGTGACCGCACAGGTCGAAACATGTTCACCGACATGGGGGGAAAACGGGTGACGCTTCTTGTTACCAGGTTACCAATAGCGATGCCAGGAGCGCCCCGGTCGTAGCGTCCTTTGCTACTAGTAGCGGTGCCCTTTGTTACTACTAGTTGAATGACATATATTAGATAATTAATGATATATTATATATATTGCGCGTTATTTGCGGGCAATAGCCAAACGGCTGCTGCAAATGCCGTGGCAACTCTATCGACCGGCTGTGACGAAACAGAAAAGGAAGGAATTGATTTATGAGGACTACGATTCGGTCAGGAATGACGAGAGGTAAAGAAAGTGGAGGAGAAGGCCTGTGCATCAAATTTCCCCGGCAAGACTGAACTGATTGGGGGGTTATGAATAGAGGATAGTGGGGTTTATGGGGGACCCCTTTGGGAACTTGAACAACTCATTTGTTGGATAGGGTGTGAAACACATTTTATGAAGGAATTTCTGGGAGTGATTTTGGTATGTTTTGGTTTCTGATCGATTTTTCAAGATCTGAGGCTAGGTGAAGAGCAGTGAGATTTGATGATCGCAAAGAGCATTGAGATCATTGAGATGTACAAGTTTTGGGAAAGGACTGGGTGAGGAGGAGGCTGAAAATATGGAAGAACATCAATTGGTTAAGAAGCATGGAGGATGCAGTTGCTGCCAGTGAGTTTTCATTGCGTTTGCTGCACGTATCACATCCGCTCACCAATTTGGCCAATATCCTATCCAATGAGTCCCACTGTATAGTCAAACTGCCAAGGCATGAGCCAACAATGAGCCAACATGAGCAAAAGTTTTCTTGGGAGGTAGGGTTTGAAGAGCATTCCGGAAGCATTGAATTTGCTGTAACCTTAGCCAAACATGAGCTCGAACCGCGCGTTCGCGCGTCCAAGAACCATACCACCAAGCTTTTTGGCCAGTGAACCCCACATTTCCATCCTTTCCCATCTCCACCCGACAGGCTGGGGGGCTCACGAACATGCCGGAGAGCACAGGACCGTTGGTGCCGGTGTCCACCTCGAAGCGATAAAGAAGTCAGAAGCCAGCTAAGCCATCCTGGAAAAAATGTGTTAGTCAATGATTCATCTTGGAACAAGCAAGTCATCTTGGAACTTCAGAAACAGAAGTCAGAAGTCAGCTTGATTTAAATTGCTCCAAGTCGTAGGGAAGGATGTCAAGTGGTGCACAGCCGAAGAAGAACCCATTTTGTTTGAATGGCGACTGATTCATTGAGTGGCCCAATTGTTGACAGAAGGAATCCTTCACGCGAGGAAAAGCCATCAATATCGCAATGATGGCTTAATGAATCTCTCGTTTTTCTCATGTGTTGTCTTTCATTTCCAGGGGCCCTTCCACCTCAGCCCGTGCAAGTCCAAGTTGGCCTATCCCGAAACAGCAACTAACTAACTCCTTCCGCAAGCGCGGAAAGCTTTCTCAGGAGGTCGGTCTCGTCTTGTGGGAGTTCTGTCCAATGCTGTGCATCTAACAGCAGTTACAACATGTAACCCATGAGAGGCCTTGTCCAAGCCTGTCCCCGTTCTTTGATCTCTTCACCCCCCCCAATTGGCCCATCCGCCCATCCGCTGATCGCACCACGAAGCGCGTGGCAGGGTCGGATCCATCGCCTGGACCCGCCAGCCGCTGAGAAACGAACGGCGTTCGTGGCAGCCGATCGATGGCGTCCGGCGTCCGGCGTCCACAAACGACCAGAATGGAGGGTTCTCTCAGTTGGTTGAAGAAATCTCCCAAGTTTCCAAGGAGGTCTTCCGTGACCGCCACCGAAGCAAAGCAGGGGTTGCAAAGGATGTTGGCTTGGAGGCTTCCACGTCCGACTGCCATTCTGCTGCCACGTCTTCCGCGCCATTCCACGCCCGTCCGATCCGTGCTGGACAGCACCGCCCGAGCGAGTCCGAGATCCAAGTCCTCCATCCCTTCCGCGCGTCCGGCCGACGCGAAGTCCCCAGCTTCCTCCCACGCAAAAAACAGCTGGATCACAATTCTCATGATGAAACGTCCGAAGCAAAGACGTGAACAACAAGAATTTTGGGGGCAAGCCTTCCATGCACGAACTGCTTACCGGAAATTCGGACGTGCTCGCGGGCAGATTTAGGCAAGACTACAGATCTTGCAACTGCACCCTGCCAATTCCACAGCGGTGCAGTGCAGGTGGAAAGTAAAGAGTCATCAAATCAGCAACTTCATTCCAAAATTATCAGCTACGTCTCCCCTCTACAGGCATTCAAACTCAAATGGATTCCGTCTCTGCGTTCGTCTTTCAAGGCCTTTGGCCATCAAGCCCACATCTTGCTGCAGAGTGGCAAGCCTAGAACTGTCCAAGAGCAGTGAGCTGGCTTTGACTAGGTCAGCCTGGTGTCTTAGACATTCTCAAAGTATATAAGATAACAAACCAGGATAACATCTCTGCGTCCCGGCCTGCCTGAAGGTTAACCTGCCCCCGACAAGAACAATACTCACAGAATGGTTCCTCACAAAATGTTCAATTTGCGTGCTCTCCTGAGAGTAATTTGATGATAGAACTATTTGTCAAAACAAGACACACATAGTATAGCAATGTATAGCAACCACTTGTGGAGACCAAAGCACATTGTTATTTTCTTGCCAAATTTCATAATACCAACGTTCTATACTTCGACTTCGACCTGTTAGAGGATACACAGGAAACAAACCAAAACTTTCAAGCTGATAGAACCCCCAAACGAGAGCAAACACAAACTTTCAACGAATTGTAGATGTACACCTATAGATGGAAATAGTGTTTCCATGACTTGTTTCATGATGTGGACAAACTGGGGGCCCAGTTCTGCCGCTCTTTTCCGTTGCTTTCCTCGATCCGAGGCCCGGGCCACCAAGTACGATCGCTGGGCTCAGCCACCCGGAAG